TTTTTTTTTTTTTTTTTTTTTTTTTAATTTTTTTATCACTGTTTCGAATTGCAATGAAATAAGAAGAGATATCCCATTCCTACTAGGATCGGATATTCATTAAGATTAAACATCTGTTATTTTAAATATTTTTTTTTTTTTTTTTTTTTTTTTTTTTTTTTTTTTTTTTTTTTTATTAACAACACTTATCGTATTACATATATCATATTATATCTGAAATTCATTTCAATAAATACAGGATTTTCTATCCTATCATATCTACATATTAAATTCTTTTATACAAGAAAACAATATATTGATATTTAAAATTAAAAATATAAAAATATAAATTAAGACGAACAATTAGTTGAATTAATAATTAATTGATTATAGAACGATAGCATATATCTTAATAATTAACTAAGATTCAAATTGTAATATTCTATGCAATTTCAATGATATCATGGCTCGGTTAAAAGCAAAATATTTTATTTTAATTAAAATCATATGACAATGTATTAAAGTACAATAAATATGCATTTGAATAGACAATTATTAAGAACTTGTAATTTTTCTTTGTTTTTGTTTTTTGTTTTTGTTTTAAATATACGCTTTTCTGACCGACAAATGAAACTATGAATTAAAAAATATTTAAAAAATAATACATTTAATAGCACAATTTCAATTGCACCGTCATTCTTATTTTACTTAAATATTTTATTAATTTCTAGCATCGATTAGTATATAAAAGGATGATTTTCAATGACATTTTGAAAATATTCTTAAAAAATTATTAAACATTTAAATTTCTATTTAAGTACTCGATAATAAGTTCTTAATACATGGAATGATGAGAGAAATATTAAAATCACAGATGCATAGTCTTAAAGCAGAAATCGAGTTTGTAAACTATTAGAAAACGAATAGTATAATCAGTTATCACAATCATGATTTTATTTTATGTTCATTAGATCAAAAACATTAGAGATTATAATGTATAAAAATAGTTTTCATGAGCATCATCACCCGCGAGACTAAGAGTACAAGATACCATAAGGTCTCTTTAATCGAACAGTCCATTTAAAAAAAAAAAGTGACGCTTAAATGGAAAAAGTTTCACTTCGCCTACGTAAACTACCTCTACGCTTATCAATATTTAATCAATGCGATTATATAATGAATATTCTTCACAGGCCCAAATGGTCAATAATGAAGTCAACATTAAACATCATCGCGTAATGATTTTGTAACGTATCCTCTTTTTGTCTAAAATTTTACCATTGTAGAACTTGAAGGACTATCATAGGCCACATTTGACTACTATAACGATTGTACCGTAATAACAAACCAATAAAATTTTGTGTAATTCTTTTGAACAAATCAGTTTCAGCTATAATTTTCATCTTATGCATATATTGTAAAGTATAAGGACATTCGGTATTCGTGAACTTTAACCTTTAACCTTAATATATCTTAGGTTTAAACAGAATAATGTACTTGTTTTATTAGGAATAGTTAAGTTGAACTGACTCGATGTAAAAGTATTTTCTATCTTTTGTCGAACACGCACGCGCGCACGTGTTTATATAACTTTTTTTTTCTTAATGATACATTTGAAGAGAAAAAAAAAGTCCTGCTCTCTCAATGAATTCTTATCTCCTGAGAAAGGCTCCCGTATATTTACTTTGAAAAATACATATTTAATAGTTTTTAATGTTATTAATTACTCTATAAAAATTGCGCAAACTTAACCTTTTCTCACAATATAGTTTATAATTTACTTTGATTTTATCGGTAAATTATCGGTAAATGTATTTTTTACTTATATAAAATGTTGCAGTTGCAAAAACATTTGCTATAACTTTTGTATATTTACTTTTACTCGAAATACGTGAAATAGTCCATAAAAAGTACATAATTAATTCCTATAAATTAAATTTTTACTTTTAATGTCTTAATATATTTCAATCCAATGTTGATATTACACATATTTTAACTGTTTTTATTTATTTTAATAGCAATAGTTTGAACAGGACTTCATATCGACGTAGGATGAAATTCAATGTATGTTGTTATTATATAGTTTACAACGATTAAATTCATTATCACTTACGCACACGCAATTATGCAGTAACAACAAGATATTCATTTTCCCATATTATCATAAATAATACGTTTTTCCTTAAACCGTTACACAAGATTTATAATTTATAGATCTTTTGCGCAATAACTCTGTACTGGAATTATAGTTATAGGCTATTGTCATTATGATTGATTGAGAAATATTGTTCATTTTCATTTTATATATATCAAGTTTATCTTATAATATTTAATAAATTTTTTTTCTCGTTACATCCGTCATCGAAATCTTATTTCTTGCCATTAATGATAAGAAAATTTATTTGACCTTATTGCACAACTTACACCTTACCTTAAACATTATTCTTATTCTTTTTCTTCTTCTTATTATTATTATTAATATTATTATAAATATTAATATTATTAATATTATTATTATTATTATTATTATTATTATTATTATTATTATTATTATTATTGATTATTATTGATTATTGATTATTGATTATTCATTATTCATTATTCATTATTGATTATTCTTATTATTATTCTTATTTTTATTCTGGTATATTGATTTGTCTCTTAGTATCTTCTAAGTAAAAAGATATTCTCAATTTCATTTAATTTTGAAATCATTTTAAATTAACCGAAAATATTTTCTAAGATATTGTTTCTTTATAAATTCATGTTTTCGAAAATACTTTTACTAATTAATATTTCTGAACCATTGAAAAAAAAAAAAAAAAAAAAAATCAATAAAAACGTTATTTTCATACTGCATGAGATTCTATAAATCAATAATTTATATCATCTAGAAAAATTGATGATTATATAATAATTTACAATTTTAATAATATAACATTGAAATGCACGATTTATAATAATATTATATACATAAATTATATTTTCTTTTTAACAATTTAGATAATAACATACTTAAAAATTTCTTTGTACTTTTGAAATTTTGTGTTTAAAAGTCAAAATAAAGTGTTTATAGATGCCATTTGCAATAATAATATATTAAAAGATATATTAAAACTACTACATGCAATCATTTAGTTCATTTAAATTATAAGTTATCAATATTTAGTAATAATTATGTAGAACTATCAAATAACTATGACAACAAGAGACTGGCAGTGAATGAATTTCAAATAATTTTTAAATTAATATTTGCTGATCGTAACACTTTAGCTATATTATTTAACATTTTTATTTTCTATGCATTTTTTCATCTAGTGTCATATAATATATCAAAAAAAAAATATATAATTACTTATTAGCGAAAGAAAAACTAAATAAATTATATATTGGCACAAATGTTTCATTCTAATTTTTTCTATTTTATTTTCATACTTAGTATTTTTGTTATTTTAGATATACAATAAAATATTTTTTCTTTAATACGAATATTATAAGAAACATCTTAATCTGACAATACATTTATAAATTTCCTTTGAGAAATCATCTCTTTTAAACTTTATTATTTTGTATGAAATACGTACGTACACGTGTACTATCATTTATCAATAACCGAAATACTATTAATTTTAATACATATATGTGTATTTATATATGTATAATGTGTATATAAATGATTAAAAAATTGTTTTTTGAAATTTAAAAATCAAATCAAATTTCCGCAGAATTAAGTACATCAATATTACTGTTAGAATAAAAAGTAAGTTAACATTAAACAACAATACTTCCTATTTATCTTTTTACCATTTTGTATTATTTTATTTTAAAACTTTGATAAATAATATTAATTTGATATTCACAATAGTAGGACTAACATAATATAAATTTTACCCTATGGTAATGACTTATAAATTATTGTAATTTTATAAATGCAATAAACAGTCATAAAGAGTATATAATGTATGGAACTTTGTAAAAATCGAAAGGCTTTTTGAAATGCACAAAATAATTATCAACGGAAATCACATATTAACATATATCTTTCTTTAGTTGTCAAAAATAAACTTTAAATAATTCTTTTTATACGCTCACATTTTAAATAATATGATTTTAATAACTTTGATTAAAAATTACCATTATAAACAAACTTATAGATTACCAAATTATTTTAAATTTACAATGGAATTTTTACAAAAAAATGCCTAAAAATAATTCTATTATGCATTTGAACTAAATGAACAAAGTATACAAAATTATTTTTACTATGGACATATAAAATCAATTAAAATCATATGTATTACATAAGCTATAATTTAGCACTAATTTAGACGACTATTAAACAAGATTTTATGCAAATCAAAATTAATTACTACAAAGTAAATTTTCATTTAATATTGTACACAGTTCGCACATAAATGAAATTTTTTAGAAATTTTTTATTTGTTAAGTATTGCAAATTTTTTATTTAAAATATAACGTTTTTCTTAATATTTTTATGTTTATTCATTTAAAGTACGCATAGGCCCTTTCATTTTATCTAACTCACTATCGATCAACTTTCATTTTCAACCTAAAAGAGCACGCACAACACCCCATCCACTCCCACCAACTATCGCTATCTCTCTCTCTCTCTCTCTCTCTCTCTCTCTCTCTCTCTCTCCCTCTCTGTGTATATACTCTTCATTTAATTAAAATACTACAATCTTAAGAGAAATGAAGAAGAAACAAATCAATGTATCTAATTGGCAGTAAAAAGCATGTTTTCTTTTGAATGATTAGAAGAAAAAAAAAATTATCTTCTTTCATAGAAATACATTGCATACATACCATCATACACTCGTTCGTTCATTCTCGCATAAAATGTTATGAGTATGTATGTACATATATGTAATATAGGTATAATTATATTTTCATTATCTCTATATTTATTATCGCCGCTAAACAGCGACAAGATCTTATTTTCTTAAATTTTTTTTAAAGACTCCTCTAAAACAATATACTCAGAGCTGTCAGTCAACTTACTTTTTATAATATTATAACAAGCGAAGTATCAACAAGTTTGGGCCATTAAAACTTTTCAAGTTGGCCACTAATACTTTAAGTTTTCTTTATTCATTTATTTTATTTAATACTTTTTAAAAATTTGTATTACTTTTCCCGTATAATCATTTTAAAACTTGGCAATCTGTCCATAAAATCTTTGTTATTGCCTTTTGTATTTGTTTTAATATTATTTTTTTCTATTTTTGCTTGCGTTCGTATTACACAAATTACGAGATATTTTGTACACAATATTTATCATAGAAGAAAAATTAACTGTCGAATAAGTTTCATTGATTTTTCTACATACATTTACCAATATAAATTTGAAAAAGATGTCAACATGATAGAATCCCAACATATAAAAGCGCATTGAGACATGCATGGGATACTGACTTTTTGGTAATACAAGTGAACATTAGCATTCGGTGTTAAAAAATTTAAAATAATATATAATTCATTGTAGTATATTTAAGAATCTCAATATTTTCTGTTAATGTAGTTGAAACATTTAACAGCCAAGTCCATGATAAACAGTGAATGAACAGTTTCATTGAATAAGTATATGCATATGTATATATATATACATATATATATATATATATATACTTTAAAAATGAAAGATTATCTTTATTACCGAAATAAAATAAAAATTAATTATTATTTTTTATTTATGCATAATACTGTAAAATTTTCATTTTTATCTTTCAAGTGCACATTATACTTTACATTAAACATATCATGGTTAAACATCATTTGGAAATTTTATATTTCGCCATTTGCAAAAATATTATTTATAAAATGGTAGTGTAATAAAAGCTTCTAAAAATATTAAAATTAATAAGAAAGGATTTGATATAACAATTTTCATAAAACCTTTTCATGCATCTTTTTAAAATTAATAAAAAACAACTACTGCAAGTATAAATAGCAATAAATTTTACTAAATTACAAAAACTTTTTCATTTTACAATTTTAAAATTTTTCGTACGATATTCATACTTCAAATTAAAAAAATGTTTGGTTGAATAAGTCAGTTCATATTTTATAAAAATAACCGTATATTGATAAATTCATTTTTATTATTTTAAATCATTAAAATCAATTAAATCCATATATGAATGTACGTATGTATTTAAAAAATTTTCGAAATATTTGTCTCTAAATGTAATCAGAATTAAGGTATAAATTAAAGTATTAAATAAAGCTGACAATAACCGTAAACTTATTTTTCTACCAACGATATCTTCAAAATCTTTTAAATATAAAAAGTTAATATACAAATTTCACGTATGGAATAACTTTAGTGAAAATTATTATTTTTAATCAGTTATTTGTATTAATTTGTTTCAAATAAAAATATATAGATCTTTTTAAAATATACTAAGAATTAGTTATTTTTACAGTTGTTTTATATTAGAAATTAATTAATGATGTAATTAAATAATTTAATCTCAAATATGAAATTGAAATAAAAATCTAAATTAATTAATGTACTTTAATGCATGAAGCATTTATTTTTTAAATTATATTTTATTTTTATAAATATAAAATATAATAACGAGATTAATTTTAAAAATCGGCTTCAATTTTATAAGCTACACGATGCCATTAACGAGCTGCAATTTGATCCTATGATGATCTAATACTACACACTACTACTAATAAAATAAAATTTACTTTTCGAAAAATCTTAAGTTTATCTGAATACACGCACACACAGACGCACGCGTCAACAACCCAACAGGTAAAATTCTTAAGCATGAATATTTTTAAGCAACGATTAAGTTGAAAAATAGCATATAGTAAGAAATATCATTCTTTCTGTTATTTTCTGTAAAGAACTTTAAGAAATGAAACGATTTTCATTTATTTATTGACTTGACATTCAGTCTTATTAAAACTGGAAATGTAAATATTAGAATTTTTTCTTCAAGTATTTGATTTTCTTCTTTAGATAGAAAATATAGCATTCTAGTAACTTATATAACCAAATAAATTTTATGGAATAAATGAATATCTTTACAAGTTACTATGATATTTTACGCGATAAGTAATGCTTACTAAAATTGACACGATAGGTGTTAATATGAAAAATCACGATGAAACATCTGTATAAAAATTGTCTTTTTAAAACTTCGTTTACCTTTTTAAGTTCTCGAATAAATGTACGAGCTACTGCTGTCTCTTTTTAAACTGAATTCGTTAACATAGTTAAATATACTACATATTTTACTCTATGTATATAACGAGGAACTCAATCTGCATCGTTAATATGAAAGAGTTCGACAAGCACGAATCAATGTAACCATTCATTCTCTGATTAGTTACGCAACTTTTTACCCGGACTATTTACAAATGTACAAAATCCATCGAACCAGTAACGAATAAAGAAAATAAAAAGAAAATAATCTCTTCTACATCTCAGTATCTATATAGGACACTCAACTCCTTCTTTACCTCTTCTCGCGCTTGCCCAAAAATGTCGGCAATCAGAAGGACTTAACTCTGCTCCTTGGCGTTTGTTGGGTCTCCTCGCTTTGAGTACTATCAACGGCGGATCGCGTCGGCGTCAGCGTTGCAGTCGAACTCGGGGTTGCTGAACTAGACCCCGTGGAGCTTCGAGTGGATCTATTGAAATGCTTACGACCAAAACGCAAGATGCGTCACAAGAACAGCACCTCTTCCTCAAGCGGTTGCTGCTGCTGCTGCTGCTGCTGCTGTTGTTGTTGTTGTTGTTGTTGTTGTTGTTGCTGCTGTTGCTGATGCTGCTGCTGGTGGTGCTGTTGCTGCTGTTGCTGATGGTGCTGCTGCTGCTGATGGTGTTGGTGCTGGTGATGATGATGATGTTGTTGCTGTTGTTGTTGTTGTTGTTGTTGTTGTTGCTGCTGCTGCTGTAGCTGCTGTTGGATATGATGTTTGCGACTATAGGGCTCGGGTATGCGCGTATTACGCAGCGAGCGATTCGACATGGAGAAGTGGCTAAGCGAGCTAGAGCCATTGTTGTGGTGGTGGGCACTGTTGGGACTGCTGCTGCCACCGAGCTCAGGTGAGGACAGAGTCGACGAACTACCCACGACCGCGGGACTGCTGCCTGTACGGGAATGACGATCCGGACTATTGTTGTTCATTATGTTGCCACTTCTGTCGATCATAAAAATAATTAATGAAATGAGCAGTAAGATAAATCACGATGAAATTTTTCACAACGCGATCACGAAGCTCTATAATGTTCAAAGAAATATTTATATGAATGCATTTCAAGTTTTTAATGGTTCGCATTATTTTTGAGTCATGAATGCAAAAAACTTTATGATTAAATAGTTAGATTTTAATTTTAAATATACGAATATAATTATTTTCATAGTAATACTCAATTACATCATGCTATTACAAACGATGGAGAAAACACTTACACTACCACCTAAAATCAATATAAGCAAATATTTGTGCAAATAATTGTTTAAAACAAAGCTAATTTACTTTCAATAAATGTTATGTAATAATTTCCCATATTTATTTTAAATAATGTAGATTACATTCTTATTATTATTATTATTGTTATAAAATTTATATATTTTAAACTATAATATTGTATATATATATATATATATATATATATATTATAAATTCAACTTATCTTTTATCTTTTAAGCTAATAAAGTTTCTTTAAGTATTCCTTGATCACATAAAAAATTAAACTTACCAAATTTTCAGAAATCGTTATATTACTAGCTTTTACAATTTATGATATCAAACTTTATTATATAAGATACATTTAATTTAATTTAATTTAGGCAAGATGTTTAGATAACTTTTGGAACGTAATCTTTTATCGTGATACTTACGATACTCAAAATTTGAATAACAATCTTTCCATTTCGGATAAAAACTATAAAGTCAGAATATTAAAAAAAAAATATTTTTTTTTTAATAAATTAAATATATTTTACTATATAACGAACTCTATTCATACATTTTTCTTAAATAAAATACGACAGTCTGCGATAAGTAATGAATAACGAAATGTATCAATTATTATATAAGTATAATTTAAAATCGCCAATTAGTAGAAAAAGTATTTTTAACAAAAAAAACTACTTATTGTCACTATCCTGATAAATAAAATAATCTATTTTATAATTTTATAATACTACTGTACGTGAACGTATAAAAAAAAAAAGAAGCAGTTATTAACCGATACTTACAATAGAATACGTTCAACATTAGAAAATATTTTTAAACAATTTCTTAAATATTTTTAAATTTGAGAGCATACTGTATGTATATTGTTAAAAATGTATAAGTTAAACACTTTATAAATCGTTATTTATACATTTAGAAGCAAAACTTGTTTTTAATATAATTTATATGCTTAGTACCATTTTACTGCATATAAAAATATTAAATTTATTATTATATAAGACTAATTTATATTAAACTAAAATAAAATTAATTTATATAAAACTAAAATTTATTTTCAAGCATGCTTTCATCAAATAAAATTCTATTTTTATTTATATTCATTATTATCATTAATAATGAATAAGTATCTTACAAGAAATCCAATGTTAATAGTCATTAATTAGTAAAAAAAAAAAACTTGTTGAAAGGATTTAGTGGTTATTACATAACAAAAAATATTAATTCAATTATATAATAATGTTATAACATTCCGTTAAATAAAAATTTTAAAAATAAACACTATAAACTTACAATAGATACTATCTCGAGCATTAGAAAAGATTTAAATTAACAATTGAATATGATAGACATCAGTGATGTTTTAATTTAACACAAAATCTTGTAACGCTGAAAAAAATAACACCTATATTCATTATACCTCTATCTTACCTATTAGCATATTAATAAATATATTGTCGGACAAAGGAAAAAATACGAGATTCGAAAAAAGGATCAATTTATAACTATTTCAAGATAAAATAAACTATTAAAATTGGATTGTGGTACTTTGAAATGCAACTAATTTTAAATGACTCAAAAGCTTAAAAGTTTTAATAAATGTTGTGATAAATTTTATCTCTATGGTAATGGTAATAAATTAAAATAATATAGATTGAATTTCCCTTTTTTAAGAAATCTACAATGACATGTGACAGTATAATAATTATATCTGTGCTTTATGAATAGAGAATCTGAAATAATGTGATAAACAAATTAGCTGGCACTTATAAAGTTTATTGCACTATAAAATTTTGTAGTCACTTGGTAGAGTGAGCAATTTCTACGATTGAGAAAAATGAATTGTTATAAAGAAAGGAGAAAAAGTGATCATAAAACGAACCTGGAATTACTGTTACTGCCACTGGCAAGTTTGAGCGGTAACTGTTGCTTAACTGGAAGCTGTTGAACTTTCTGTTGATTAGTGGTGCTGAAGAGATTCTGCGGTATCATGCCTTTCTCGTCAGTTTGCGATTTCTTCCTCGAGGTCTGGCCACTATCGCTGCCAGATCCGAGCGCCGAGTGGGGCACGACCGGCACCGTTGAGCTGGTAGTCAGAGAAACTCCCTGACGTGTCAGCGCCTCGAGCTTACGATAGAGCTGATCGCGCTGCTTCTCGACGTCGCGTTGTTCAACGGTTAGTTGATTTCGCAATTTATTGAGCTCGGCGCGTTCCTCGTCAAGATGAGCGCGCTCCTGCTGGGAGACGACGCGAAACTCGGCCCTCTCGCGACTCAGCTGATCCTGCAGATTGCGCAGCTCTTCGAGTTGTCGATTCGGATTCGGCCGGTTATTTGATTTACTCATACTGCCTTCCTTGAAGCCAGCTACAACAATATAGGTACAAACGATTTAAATTAATATTCACATGAATTCACTTAAGTAATGTTAGGTTATCAGTACGCAGACGATCATATTTGAAATTTTGAGAGAAAAAAACGGCATTGATAATAAACTACAATTATTGTTCATACAAATTATTTTTAATTAAACACGTCCTTTATGTCAAATTTGTGCAATACGTGATTCTTCGATTAAAATATCATTAATTGAGATATCATTTTTATTATTAACATATTATTTATTAAAATTTTATTAAAATCATAATAATACATATACAGACATACTAAAAACGAAAAACAAACAAACAATAAGTAATAGAATAAATAAAAATTAAATTAAAAATTAAAAATTAATCGAATGAAATAACAATTCTCAATGAATATAAAAAATTATAATTTAAATGTTCTTTACAGACATGTAATTCGATGAATAATGAACTATAGAAAATTAACAAGTTAAAAGAGAATTAAAAAAATATTAACATAAAATACATTAAGTACTATTTTTATCTTACCCAATTGAGCTTGTAAGCCCTCGATAGTTGTCATTTGATTACTAATAATGCACAATAGCGTATGAACATAATGTGATAGTCTAACTGCAACTTCACGCTGGTCTCTATAAGCATCTAACTCATCTTCTTCCTTACCCTCCATTTGTTCAACCACGGTAATTTCATTTTTTCCCGAAGGATCTAGAGTATTATTCAATGCCACCGAATCTCTCCATGGATATCGTTCCTACAATCAATATTTTTGAAAAATTTCAATATTACCAATATTATAATAATAAATATATTATTAATTAACATTATTTATTGAATATAATCACTCATAAGTAACAGTAATAAATTCTTCTTCTTTTTATATAACAAATTTTTTATTATTTACATTTTGAAACGTGTTTTTGCATAGTAATGAAACTTGTAAATTAAGAGCTTTTAAATTATATAGATAATCATATGCTCGCTCAATTTATAATTACAATACAAATAGTAGCAATGTTTCTATATGAAGACATTAGAAAATCTTAATTACATAACATAACCCGTGTAATATAAAAAAACAAATATAAAATCAGAACGAATGGTAACGAACATGAAAAAATAACAAAGGCATACCTTGTTATGATCGAAACCAGCGAAAGTTTCTGCTCTTCGAGGGACAGCTAGAGATGGTGGCACGTAAGCATCGCTATGACGTTCTCCAGCTGAACTAAGACTCCTGGAAAGAGTCCCACCAGTTGCACCACAGGATAATGAGCTTGCAAGTCGCATCGCCTCCTGAACAGCTTCAAGAGCCTGGAATTCAAATAAAGTTTATTAGCTTCTAACAGAAGTAAAATAAGATAAATAAAAAATTTAATTTATTAACAATTGCATAATATTTATTATAACATAATACATAATATTTCTTTTACAAAATACTATGTATTTAAAAACTTATTAAAAATGTATAAAAAATTTCGTAGTATATATAAGTTTTATAAATTAAATCATTTATTTATATTTTGTAATTTTAAACATAAAGATGAATGTAAATAATACTTTCAACTACTATAAATTTCTTTATTTTACTGTCTATTAATCTATTTACTAATGTTATACGACAGCCTACCTCCTGCCACATCTGTGTAGAATTTATTCCTTCACCACGAACAAGTCTTAAATAATCGGGTATCTCCTTAAAATCTTTGTCTAATTTATCAACGTCATTTTCGTTTGGTAAATTAATCACGTGATGTAATCTCATATGTAATTCCATCTTCTGTTCAAATAGCGATGCTTGTTCTTCGTCCTTTTTCCTTAGTTCGTCTATAAAGTAAGAAAAATCATTTATAATAAAATTGGAATAATTCCAAAAGCAGTATAAACAAACAGGTTTCTTATAAAATTCCATTTCCATTAATGAACATTGATTCTTGCATTTAATTATTCATTGTCATCAATTTATATAAAAAAATAAAAATAATACTTACCGAGTATACTTTGGTAACGTGTTTCTTTGGCAAGTCTAAGCTTCTCCTCGGAAGACAATTTTGATATAGATGACGATCGCGCATCCCTCATTTCGTTGACCATATTATTTTCAACAAAGTTGGAAGTTTCATTGTCAGGTTCCTGAGGACACGTTTCGACGGCCGCTCTGATTGCTTTGACCCATAAATGCTTATCACGCGGTTCTTTAACCTATAAAATGTGTAATTTAAATAAAATTACGCTTCAGTGTTAAAACCAAATGCTGATTGATGTTATTTTGATAATGCAAATTTTAACATAAACTATTTATTACAATGAAAAGTATTTATTAATATTTGGACAATTTTATTCTCTATTGTTCCATGCAGTAATTATGATAATTATAAAATAAGATTCTTATTAATTTCTATGTAATAACAAATTTTCATGTTTTGAGAGAATTATTACAAATAATGTAAATCGATAATTAAATTAGTATAATTTGTTGGGTCTTGTATAGATCATTTTTATATACATTAGTATGAAACTGAATTTATACATTATAACTTTATTAATATAAAAATTTAAATATTTAAAAGCAATGATATTTTTAAAGACACTTTTTTTTTTTTAATCGTTAGCAAATATGATTGTATTAATATAATACCAAATGCATAAATGCAATTCATATTATAAAAATTATTACTAAGTTTAAATCAAGAACCAACCTTAAGCTCAAACATTTCTGGTTCGCTTGGATTACTACTAATAAGATAGATGCCACGTGACTCTTGGCCAGCCTTTTCACGCACCAGTAGCTTCTGCAGTGACACTACCCCTGCTTTATTATCAGGAACGAAGAAGGCATATTTCTGTTCACCAGCCAAAAAAAATAGTACATCGGTAAGGCAAACAACAACAACGGGCACCATTTTGCCTCGTCCTTGCATTAACCAAGCTGTACCCTCGAATTTAAGATTGCGATTGGATGCCAAAATATCAGATTTTTTAAACTTTTCACCTCGATACGTAGCGCATGACTTTGGATCAATCCTAAAATTATAATTAAGATTAATGAAATACATATCAATACTATTGTATTTTTATATACATTATATATTTATAATAATCATATCATAATACCATTAATATTGTGGCTATTTATTTATAAAGTACATTTTTAATAAATAATTTCAAATGCATACATTTAAAAAAACATTTTATTTGTTTTGTATTAACGAATGAATATGCTACGAATTAAGACTTGTTTGAAAAAATTTATCGAAACAAAATTATGTATTTAAAATTATTGAAATGTCATATTTCTATCAGAATAATAAAGAGAAAAAAATTACTTATGATAAATATCAAGTTTTCTATCAGTTCGTTCTTTATCTGCGACACATGCATCCACTTCGCCCAATATTTCTTTAACGAGGCTCAAGGCTTTGCGAAGATTATCAGTTTCTTCTATAGTGACTCCAGTTTTAATTAAAGGCTCCACTAAAAGCGGATACTTTGTTAATCTCTGGGTAACAAAAAGTATGCACTCGGGTATCCCCTTTTTCTTTAGCAAAGGATTATTCTGAAACAAATAAAAACATCGTATTGTTTGATAAAACCTTGAAAATTGTTTTTCAAAGCTAGTTACAAATTATTGTAGAGAAGATTTTGAGGTTTATGGGTCTATGTTGTCAAACAAGTGTTGTAAGTTTGAATTTTTTTTTCCTTTTTTTTTATTTTTTTTATTTTTTTTTTTTTTATTTTTTTTTATATCATCTTATATTATGGCAGTGTTTATATATAAGTGAAAAATCATCTCGTTTGTTAATTATATTCTATATTTAGTATAATATTACATTTTATATATACCTAATTTCTCCATACATTGCATTCCATTTATAAAATTTTATAATAAAAAATACTTTCAATGTACATTATACTAGAAAATATTCAATTTTTAAAATGTACACACATTTGTAAAGTATATGCATACATCAGATATTACTATTTGCAAAGAAATAATTTGCAAAGAGCGCATTCCCTATTAAATTAAAAAATTACTTTTAATAACTAAAGTAATGTTGGTATATATACCTGACAATGCCGAACAAATCGTGCAAATCGTGTATCGACCTGCTGGTGCTGTTTATACACATCGACCGCATCTCTGTGCCTGCTGCAAAATTCTCCGTATGCACTTTTCATATTATATGAATTCTCTCTCGAGAACTGATCGATCAATATATCGGCTATAGTCGATACGACGGCATTCTCAGACTGTCTTAATCGAAGCTTCGATAAAAAATCAAAATGAATGTCCATAAGATTTTGAAGCTTAGGGAACATGCGATCCAGCACTGAGAAGTTCAGGTTGAAGTGTCGCTGCAGACCCTCGACAAAGATCCTTTGCATTGCGAGCAATACGAGACAGTGATGCTTCTCTGTAAGTATGAATTCATAAATGTGTTCCTGACGTTTTACTTCGCGCTCATTATTGTCTACGAGACGCATCGCGACCTTCCGACCGATTGCTGCGCTCCACGAGTCAGGTTCCTCACGGCCAAGGCCTAATTCTGGTCGTAAGCTATCAAACTCCTCAAGACTGAACTGCTGCATGTCATCAAAATCAAATTCTTCGAATCCACTAAAAACAAAAAAAAAAACAAAAAAAAAAAAAAAAGAAAGAAAGAAAGAAAGAAAGAAAGAAAAAAGAAAAAGATTGTTTCTGTTGAAATAACTACAAGCCGCTAAATAATGTAAATTGAATTCATTAAACTAAAGATTATATAATTCATTTGCATGGCCCTGCATGTTTTCTCGTGTTTTCATTTGAAATTTAAAGAAACTGATTAATACTTTCTCTACGAAATATTTGTCAATATAAATAAATTGGAAAATTTTTTATATACATCGCTTTATTCGTTTATTCTATTTTATTAATTTCACAAGAATTTTATAGTAAAGGCAATTATAGCGTAAGCATTAAAACAACCAAACTTTTGTAACCTTTTGGAAATTAAACAACAAGATTTTCTTCTTTCTAAATAATCAAAGAATTTTTTTAACATATACTAATTATACAATTCTAGTATATTGTATTCAATTATACAGTTATATATACATGAAAATATTTTGCAGAATTTTTTGGTCGTCAATAGTTCAAACGATATTATATTATATTAACTATAAATATCATTTTTATTAACTACATTGAGAAAAATTTTACCATTAACATTGAATTATTTAGTTATAAAAATCAATTAGCGTACAAGTATATAAAATAGAAAGAAATTTAATGTTAATAAATCAATAACTTAAAATTAAATAATTTATCTTCTTCTATTTATCACTATAGTATATTTACTTATATTATTTATCGGAATTTTCTATACATACGTGGAAATATCACGATGTGAAACTCCATCTCCATCTCTCTCTTCATTGATTGTTTGACTGAAAAACAACAAACATTTGCATGATTAAAGAATTTCAATAGCACTTATATAATGCTTAATTTTAAAGCAAAGTATGCGTAAAATTTATAGAATATAATCATAATAACAGTGATAATAATAGTAATAGTAACAATAACAATAACAACAACAACAACAATAATAATAATAAT